TAATTCCTGAACTTTAACAGGATAACAAAATAACAGAATAACAGAATTGGAAGGGACCTTGGAAGTTTTCTAGTCAAACCTCTGCTCAAGCAGGAAACCATATACCAGTTCAGACAAATCATTGTCCAATCTCTTCTTAAAATTCTCATGTCCAATCCTCTGAGATCCTCTACTCCACCCACAACTTCTGAAGGCAAGTCATTCCATTGATTAATTGTTCTGCCCTTAATTCTAGTTGTTTCTCTCCTTGATTAATTCTCATCCATTGCTTCTTGTTCTGCCTTCAGGCACTTTAGAATATAGGTTGCCACCTCCCCTTTTTTATCTCAGATATTCTTAGATATTGGAACACTGCTATCATGTCACTCCTAGTTCTTCTTTTCATTAAACTAGATATACATACTTCCTGCAACTGTTCTTCATAGTTTTTAGCTTTTGGTTCCCTAAACATTTTTGTTGCTGGTCTCTGCAGTGTTTCTAGATTTATTTGAATTCACAAAATCTTCTCATTTTCCATGTGATGATCTGCTATGATATTTGATGGTATGACAAGTGATATATGATATGGTACAATATGATATAGTATATTGCCTTCCATATAAGAGTGGCCTGATTAGGAAGTAGTGTCTCCTTGCCCCGTTCTTTAGAACAGGAGTGAGAAATACAAATAATAATCTGAAGACACTGATTCACATTTGTACAGTAGTCAGACTATTGCAATGTGCTCTATGTATTCTTCCAAGACAATATGCTGTCTTGGAAGGAAGTTTGGAGATTAGAGGAGCTATGAATGTGTTTTCCAGGTAATTACTCAAATACACTTGCCAGTGTCACACATGCACTGTGATCACCGCCTTGATTGCCCACACTCTTCTACACTCAAATGAAAATAAAGAATATCTCAATAAAGGACACTATCTCAGGTTATTTTCTTGCAGATGTTTTATTACTCAAACTAGGCAACATCATCGGTGTTAGAATATTACATAAGGTTCCAAGTGCACAGATTCTGATGGGCCATCAGAAGGACACAGAAGAATCATGGATCTAGCCCACAGGTGATAAAACTTATACTGATGAACACCTTATCCATGTCCTCAGATTCCACAAAGTCAAATGAATCTCAAGCTGTTTTCACCTTGTTCAAAAATAAAAATATTTTTTTGGGGGAAAATTATCCCAAAGAGTTGTAAGCATGATAGAACAAATGAAGCCATCTGCACAATTTTCAGTCTTCAAGGGAGGCTCTGCTTGTTGNCCCCCCATCAAGCCATGCCCACAAAACTAGTAGGAGAAAAAATTGAACGTCAGCCCTGCGATGGATGCTGGTAGGTAGAAGCAGAATTTTTTTTCTTATTTTCCTCCCCAAAAACTAAGGTGTGTCTTATACTCCAAAAATACAGTAATTTCTTCTAATATTACCAGCCATGTTTCTTCCTTGAGAATCATCAGGCTTCCATGGTCCGCCCTTGCTCCGTGTTTGTGTTTGGATGAAAACATGGCTTGTAAAGCATATGCCATGGCATAGATTGCATTATAAATGCTGTAACTCTGCCCAGTCATGGTGGTCTCAAATATCGAATTAGGAAGAGTCTCCAGCTTCTCTTCTCCAGTGCACAGCACTCCACCCGCCTCACCTAACCTATCTTTAAAGAAAGAACATTCAAATGCCTGTTCCCAGAACAATCTTGTTATATGGTCTTCTTCTTCTGAAGTAGGACTTCTCATCTGCAAGAATGGTTTGAATTCCGTCACCTCCTTGGAAGAAACTGCAAAAGATATGGCACCATGAATAAAGTCCAAAGGCCGTATTTTTTGAAAAGGGACTGATGTGAACTCCATTTGGGCTGGCATGATCCAGACTTTGTCTTTTCTCCTTACCGGTATATACTCATATTCTGAAAGATAGGGAAATATCCTGAAAACGGCAATGACCTGGTTTTCACAGTAGAGGATGACAACATTGGCCGTGCTGTTCATGACAATCTTGTACAAGGCAATAAAATCTTTAAATACCATGTCAATGTCATTCGAAAAAGTTTCTTTGGGCAACTCTTGCATGAAGTCAAAGCAAATACCTTTCTGGGCAAACAGTATATGGGCATTCCGTACGAACCTCTGCCCACTCTCATCACGTTGGGAGATCAGCCCTATCCACACCCACTTTAAATGCAACAGCAGCTGAAGAATCCCCTTGGTCTGAAGCGCCTCATTTGGGAAAAAACGATGAAAGAAAACGGTGTCTTCGCTGTTGTCTACCATTGGAGCGGATCCATAGATGAGCTAAGAAAAATAATTTAAATTTGTTGGGTTTTAGAGTTTATGATTCAGACTACGTTGATTGCAAACTTCAAAAGAAATATAGTCTAGAAAGATTTTTTTTGCTTTAATAAGTATAAGTGAATAAAAATAAATAATATTTCAATGCCAGAGATTTGATGATTTATTGTTTCAGTAATTCCTGAACTTTAACAGGATAACAAAATAACAGAATAACAGAATTGGAAGGGACCTTGGAAGTTTTCTAGTC